CAATTAATGTGTAATATGTCTTTCCTCTGTTCATTGTCCATTACATGTATTTTTTCAATGTAACTGTCGGGAGCGGGCTTTGATAAGTTGAATAACTTGTGCCCAATCCCTTTCAATACTGAATAAAAGAGGCTCAAACAAACACCTTACCATAGCAAACAGTCGTTCATACCATCACTTACAGGCGATTTGTGTAAATTAATATCCCTCAGAGGCAGTGGGGTAGCCGAATTTGAAAAGCGTTTGCTCATCACGCCGAAGAGCCGTGATTTTGATGAAATATTGTTAAAAGCGGCATAACTCATATTACTCAAGTTTGTTGTTTAATGCCGCACTCTGCAATATTTCAGATGTATGACGGTCTGTAAATTATCAAGTCTGGACCAGACAATCCAGAGATTGACATCATGAGCATCGATCTACGGAATTGGGATATATGTTAGTTACGACAAGATCGGTTTAAACCCGGGGTTCAAGGGTTTGTATGTTGTGACGACTTCAGGCAGGATTCATCAAATATTTTCCTGGGGAATATTTACTTAATTCCTTCACGTGTTACTGTTGTATAAATTCGGGTACACATAATGTTACGTCACGTAGTGTAAAATCGGTTTGTGTATTCAAATATATAACATGACTTGGCAGGTATTAATGATCTTCAGATGTAAAATTTTAAACATTTGTTTACTGAAGGGAATACGTTACCAATACATACGTATATATTGACAGGATACGTGAATGACACATACGTTACTAAAGATGGGATACGTTAATGACACATACGTTACTAAAGATGGGATACGTTCATGACACATACGTTACTACTGATGGGATACGTTCATGACACATACGTTACTACTGATGGGATACGTTCATGACACATACGTTACTACTGATGGGATACGTTCATGACACATACGTTACTACTGATGGGATACGTTCATGACACATACGTTACTACTGATGGGATACGTTCATGACACATACCTTACTACTGATGGGATACGTTCATGACACATACGTTACTACTGATAGGATACGTTAATGACACATACGTTACTACTGATGGGATACGTTCATGACACATACGTTACTACTGATGGGATACGTTAATGACACATACGTTACTACTGATGGGACACGTTAATGACACATACGTTACTACTAATGGGATACGCCAAGGATGCATACGTTACTACTGATGGGACACGTTAATGACACATACGTTACTACTGATGGGACACGTTAATGACACATACGTTACTACTGATGGAACACGTTAATGACACATACGTTACTACTGATGGGACACGTTAATGACACACACGTTACTACTGATGGACACGTTAATGTTACGTTACTACTAATGGATGGGACACGTTACTGATGGGACACGTTAATGACACATACGTTACTACTGATGGGACACGTTAATGACATACGTTACTACTGATGGGACACGTTAATGACACATACGTTACTACTGATGGGACACGTTAATGACACATACGTTACTACTAATGGATACGCCAAGGATGCATGACGTTACTACTGATGGGACACGTTAATGACACATACGTTACTACTGATGGGACACGTTAATGACACATACGTTACTACTGATGGGACACGTTAATGACACATACGTTACTACTGATGGGACACGTTAATGACACATACGTTACTACTGATGGGACGTTACTACGATGGGACACGTTCATGACACATACGTTACTACTGATGGGACACGTTCATGACACATACGTTACTACTGATGGGATACGTTAATGACACATACGTTACTACTGATGGGACACGTTAATGACACATACGTTACTACTGATGGGACACGTTAATGACACATACGTTACTACTGATGGGACACGTTAATGACACATACGTTACTACTGATGGGACACGTTAATGACACATACGTTACTACTGATGGGACACGTTAATGACACATACGTTACTACTGATGGGACACGTTAATGACACATACGTTACTACTGATGGGACACGTTAATGACACATACGTTACTACTGATGGGACACGTTAATGACACATACGTTACTACTGCCAAGGATGCATACGTTACTACTGATGGACACGTAAATGACACATACGTTACTACTAATGGGACACGTTAATGACACATACGTTACTACTAATGGGACACGTTAATGACACATACGTTACTACTAATGGGATACGCCAAGGATGCATACGTTACTACTGATGGGACACGTTCATGACACATACGGTACTACTAATGGGATACGCCAAGGATGCATGCGTTACTACTGATGGAACACGTAAATGACACATACGTTACTACTAATGGGACACGTTAATGACACATACGTTACTACTAATGGGATACGCCAAGGATGCATACGTTACTACTGATGGAACACGTAAATGACACATACGTTACTACTAATGGAACACGTTAATGAGACATACGTTACTACTGATGGAACACGTTAATGACACATACGTTACTACTAATGGGACACGTTAATGACACATACGTTACTACTAATGGGATACGCCAAGGATGCATACGTTACTACTGATGGGACACGTTAATGACACATACGTTACTACTAATGGGACACGTTAATGACACATACGTTACTACTGATGGGATACGCCAAGGATGCATACGTTACTACTGATGGAACACGTAAATGACACATACGTTACTACTAATGGGACACGTTAATGACACATACGTTACTACTGATGGGATACGCCAAGGATGCATACGTTACTACTGATGGAACACGTAAATGACACATACGTTACTACTAATGGAACACGTTAATGACACATACGTTACTACTGATGGGGCACGATAATGACACACACGTTACTACTAATGGGATACGTTCATGACACATACCTTACTACTGATGGGACACGTTAATGACACACACGTTACTACTGATGGAACACGTTAATGACACATACCTTACTACTGATGGGACACGTTAATGACACACACGTTACTACTGATGGAACACGTTAATGACACATACGTTACGACTGATGGGACACGTTAATGACACATACGTTACTACTGATGGGACACGTTAATGACACATACGTTACTACTGATGGGACACGTTAATGACACATACGTTACTACTGATGGGACACGTTCGTGACACATACGTTACTACTGATGGGATACGTTCATGACACATACGTTACTACTGATGGGACACGTTAATGACACACACGTTACTACTAATTATATCAAGGATGCATGACTTACTACTGATGGGACACGTTAATGACACATACCTTACTACTAATGATATCAAGGATGCATGACTTACTACTGATGGGACACGTTAATGACACATACCTTACTACTGATGGGACACGTTAATGACACATACACGTTACTACTAATGATATCAAGGATGCATGACTTACTACTGATGGGACACGTTAATGACACATACGTTACTACTGATGGGACACGTTAATGACACATACGTTACTACTAATGGTATCAAGGATGCATGCCTTACTACTGATGGGACACGTTAATGACACATACGTTACTACTGATAGGACACGTTCATGACACATACGTTACTACTGATGGGACACGTTCATGACACATACGTTACTACTGATGATATCAAGGAAGCATGCCTTACTACTGATGGGAAACTTTATCGATGCATGCGTTACCAAAGGTGGGGATACATTACCGATCGCTACGTTATTACTAATGGGTCTAGATAAGCATTATATAATTTGCATGATAGAAAGACAGCTGCCTAATGTAAACTCCTGTCACTGTAATCTAATGTGTCTCTGGTATATCAAGGCGGGTCACTGTAATCTAATGTGTCTCTGGTATATCAAGCCATGTCACTGTGATCTAATGTGTCTCTGGTATATCAAGGCGGGTCACTGTACTCTAATGTGTCTCTGGTATATAAAGTCAAGTCACTGTACTCTAATGTGTCCCTGGCATATCAAGCCATGTCACTGTACTCTAATGTGTCTCTGGTATATCAAGCCAGGTCACTGTACTCTAATGTGTCTCTGGTATATCAAGTCAAGTCACTGTACTCTAATGTGTCTCTGGTATATCAAACCAGGTAACTGTACTCTAATGTGTCTCTGGTATATCAAGCCAGGTCACTGGACTCTAATGTGTCTCTGGTATATCAAGCCGGGTCACTGGACTCTAATGTATCTCTGGTAAATCAAGCCAGGTCACTGGGCTCTAATGTGTCTCCATTATATCAAGCCAAGATGTTTAACGTAAGTTTCAGGTATGTCCATGATCTGATATCGTTCAAAAGCCGATTCCATTCCACTGATTTACAATATATCCACAAGATAATAAGAGGGTTTTACTTTACGTTTCCATTGCCAATCTCTCTTTATGCTGCACAATATTCCAGCAGCTTCAACCCGCTATTTCAGCTTCAACTCCGTATTTCGACTTGTTCCACCTGTGGTCTTCGTGTGAACAATTACTTGCCTTTGCGTGTGTTTTGTCGACTTGTACCACACGTGCTCTTCAAGTGAACAATGACTTGCCTTTGCGTGTGTTTTGTCGACTTGTTCCACACGTGCTCTTCAAGTGAACAATGACTTGCCTTTGCGTGTGTTTTGTCGACTTGTACCACACGTGCTCTTCAAGTGAACAATGACTTGCCTTTGCGTGTGTTTTGTCGACTTGTTCCACACGTGCTCTTCAAGTGAACAATGACTTGCCTTTGCGTGTGTTTTATGGATGGGGTGGTGTGTGCCACTAATGACGATTATTATAATGCCACTATTGAACATTAATCATAAACACATGTTGAAGATCATGGAAATGGTTCGGTTGCTCTGATTGTACATTACTGGTTCCCGTGTAGTGACCACCAAGTGGTTGGGGAATGTTGCTTAGAAAAAGGGACACAAAAGCTTCCAATTAAATCTGGAGCTTTTTCTACTAATTTATATAATCAATAGAGAACGCCTTTAAACATTTTATTTCAAAAGGGTACGACAAACCACCACACATATCTCATTAAAGTTGTTAAAGGCATAAACAAATATCGTCATAAATAAATACAACAAGTAACCTCACTCCCTTTCACCAGGATGCGGTCTCTCAAAGTATGTACAAACAATGGGCCAGAACAAATTGAGCATATTAGTGGCGAATCTGCGGATATATTTACACAGTGTCTGTGACACAATGGCAACCTCCTCAAAAACAGATCTGGACTGTTCACAACTTCTGAAATGCCTCTCAAAGAAGATCTGAATCAGTCCATATCTTTAATACATATGGATAATCGTTCACGTACTACAATTAACAATACCCATAAAAATATATCAAAACAAAGAGGCGATTCCCACGTACCTATAATCAATTTGTTGGGCCTAGTCTAAGATATTGACAACAAAGGGAGATAACTCTCATTTGACCAATGTTACGAGCGTCATGTGAATCTCAGAACAATGGGTAAGACGCTTGTAGATATAATTCTCAGGACGCAAAGTCTTCCAACATTCTGATATATGCTTGGGACTGTTCTACAAAGGGATCTTAGGGCTTTCGTAAGTCTACGTTAAGGTATGTGAGTTACAATCACCTTAGACCTAAGACCGCTTTGTAGAACGGGTCCAAGGTAAAGAGCCCCAACCTTGTAAGATTTTGTTATGACACAATTGACTTTCAGTGCCAATATATCAATAATACTGACATTCAGACAACACATTCATGGTTGGACGTATTATACGTTACGATGGATAGAATACGATATAAAACATTTCGATCCATTTCGTCGCCTCAGATTGGACCAGATCTACCCTAGACTCCTTGCTGGATCTAGACTGCAAGGAAACAGAAAGTATACGCTTCCAGTGAGTCAGTATGGTTTAACGCCTCTTATAGCAATATTCCAGCAATATAGGCTTCACATATTATACCCTTGTGGGGAATCGAACCTGGGCCAACGCCTTAACCACTAGGCTACCCCACTACGCTTCGAAAACCGAGTTTCATCCCAAATATCATTCACATTATGAAAACGTTACTAGACTGAAAACATTCGTCAAAACGCTGCAAACCTTGGTCCAAAACACAATATGATACTCTTATCAAATAAAATGTATATCCCCATCCAAAAATCATTATTTATATTCTCATTAAACATGGGCGTATACCTTCTATTACCCGCCAGTGTAGATCGTCAGCCTGGTCTGGTTGAAGAATGATACAGTCGAGCTATTGCTTCAGTTCAGGCCAGACAATGTTGTTTGTTTCCTGTTTCAACCATTCTAAGTTAGTGTCAAGTGAGTGAGTGAGTTTTGTTTTACGCCGCACTCAGCAATATTCCAGCTATAGTTAGGGTCGAGGTAGGTTGATTGCTATTTTTGTCATTTTTCACTTTTTGCGTTAAAGGATTGGTTGACCAACAGTGACGACCAAAAGAACGTTACCACATGCGGTATTGATATACAGTTGGAATGGCTCGGGGTTCGATCGAGAAGAATACCGAACAAAAAATGCAACCATATACATAATGAATGAGGTTCGTAAACACCGAATCATTAAGAGAAGAAAAACCAGTAATAGTACTCAAGGCCTCCAAAGTTTTCTATATTGAATTCCTTTTCGAAAATTGATGTTATTTCTAACTATGTTGACAACTGCTGCCTTTGGTTCTCAAAGAACAGATGATTCTGACTGATGTTATGTATATATAGACTGGTTGCCATGACGACAATAGAGTACATTTCACACCAGGCATGTGATGCTGCGATGATGCGGGTACACAAAAACTAGAAATGTCATTCCATGCGTCATGAGAGTGAATATGAAACATTTTTATACAGATACATGATAAGGCAAACAGATGCATAAAATTAGAAATGTTAGTATGAAAGAGTTTTTTTTATCGTGAAAAATACTGATTGAAGGGAATCCGTGCATGGAGGGTCTTTCATGACGCCGATGGTGAGTTTTATGAGTTCTGCTGTTCCATCTCGCTCCCGTCACTAGAGTATTCCTGAAGAAGTAAATTAGTAATTTGTCTTTGAAAAAGGAAAGTTAAAATTTAAATATTTCTCGAATTCCGAATCAGACCATCGCCGTCTCACAAACCACACCTAAACATACTCAATGTGTAATATAACCGTGCCAGGGACCAGACAATCAATTGTAGCCATGTACATTGACAAGACTTACAGCTGATAGTTATTCATAATAAAGATGTATATGCTCTGCTGCTAACGCCACTGGTGGTAGGCGTGAAGCACACTGGGCACTGCATACACTCATACACACACGCGCACACACGCACCCCTACACACACAACAAACGCACACATGCTTGTTAATTGAAGCCTTCATTGTCATGTTTGAAAGACTATTTTTAACTGCAACTATTTATAAATTCATGCAGAGGCATTTCTCCCCTATTTTTCGCGATGCTTGACCACACCATGAATTCACTACATTAATAGATCCTCGACGCTAGAGGCTTGAACGTGCTCGTGCCCTGGCCATCGGTTGGTGCCAACCTTCATTCTCTACAAGCGTCACAAGAAAGGCCAATCAATGGTCACACGATGTCATGATTAGGTGACAACTAATCAACACTATACTGATTCATGCTGAGAGAAGCAGTGATTAGAGATGTCTGGAAACAAGTGAAGGATTAGTGATTAGATCAGAAACACCAGGAGCTACAAGGGCGTAAAGGATTAGAAGCGGAGAAGTCAAGTGAGCGCCACTGCACTGTGTCCAGTCCAAATCTGACACTGAAGAATGGTTCACCTTAAAATATAATTACACCATAAACAATTAATTCTTGGTTCTTTGGATTTTGTCGCCCATTTATTTTTGGAAGAATGGCAACACATTGTTTTGAAAGAAAAAAAATGTTTCTTCTTACCAGATGTCAAAGGCAGAAAAACAAACTGTAATGATTTTTCAAAACTTGGTTCTCTGCTTCTGAGAGTTAGTGGTAAATAATCTACTTTATATGAACACGCAATTCACGCAATTTCATATTCAGAAAGTTACTATTAACATTACTGTTTAACCAATAAAATGATGAAGTTACTCTGATGAACACATAATTTATTGTGAATTTATGGGGTCTTTCTTAAACGAAACTGGTATGTCTAGAATGCATCAACATTTAACGCAGATGACACCCCTTGCTGTGATGGGTGCGGATTTCCTTCTATGTGATGCTTAGGACATTTGGACTGGGGGTACAATGCAGCAGTGCTGACCAAGCAAGATAGAGGCAGATGTGAGAAGACCGTGGGCATAGGGGTATGGACAATGTTTCGTCTGTAGTTCTATATAAGTAGCAATTCAAGCCAGTTGTCTGAAGGTGACAAGAGTGCATTGTCAAATATTAAAACCAATTTAAACAGACGCATTCTAAGACTCCTTCAATGTTTTCATGACAAAACTGTTTCAATAATACCCCCTATGAAGATGGGTATTCATGTTACTACCGGTGCTTAACTTGATGTGATAATGTGGACGTTCCACGTCACATCTACAAACAGCACTGAAAGATATCTGACAATTATGTTTCTCAAGAATGATTTACAGTGAGCAAGAAAGGAGAGAAAACTTCCCTTGCAATACTTATTAGGTGGAAGGAAACAAAAAAAAAACCCAGCGCTTCTTTTTTATGTCAAAATGGGTAAACAAAACCGTACAAACAATTATATTCAACGTTTTGTTTTTTGTTTTAAGATGCGGGGGTAGTTTCAGCTTGTAATACTGGGCGCGGGTAGTTATACCCGTAAAATCTGGTTGCTGTCTTAACGTAAGCACCATCGTTAGGTTGTTTCTGATAGAGTATTGTTATTCGGGGTAGTTGTATAGGGTTTGGTTTAAACTTTTGTCTGTGCTGTCTGGGATAAGGGTTGTTGGTTGTCAGCCACCAGCTCTCGTCGTGCCTCTGTCTTTGGCTGAAATAGAAGGTGGTCAAACATTATTTCCAGATCTTCATCTGCGCCGCTTATTGTCTGGTGTTTACATGTAAAGAGCGATTGACAGGATGCATCAGGATTTCCCCCATTAATCAGAACTATGGTCGACAGTGACCAAGGGCTTGCAAATTGAGATCTATATATAGTCAGAGCATGTTTCTGTCAGGTCACAGATTGTTTATTGTTTTCACAAGTCAATACTGGCCGAGGTTTTCCTCTACATCACAATACTTTACAGCAATTATATTCATACACTTTATGATTCGCCCGGATTATAATCCTTGTGCTGTAAACCCCGCGCCCGCTTGTGGGTCACTCAAATTAGTTCTTTGTTCCATAGCGTCCGACGCAATCTTATAACACTAATTCTAGATAGGAACATTGACGAGGAACTAGTGGTACTACGTCTTAAATAAGCTTCATATGCTAATGAAAGAAGCACAGACCATCGGTCAAAGCGGTCACATCCGGTCACAATGTAAGCATATCTTTATATGCTCCTGCTGAAAATGACAGATCACCCGGTCATACCAGGTATGCCGACTGCGCATGTTCAGCTCGAATATCCGGACGATATGGCTGAGTAAATGGCCTAAGTTAACCACTGAAATTAGCATGACTAAAGAACGCAACTGACTTGCTTTTGTATTTGCGAACTGCGACAAGAACCTAAATGAGACTTCATTTTCCTTTCAAGAATCGAATATACTCAGATTAACATTAAAGGGGCACAACTCTGGCAATACAGTTGCACGAGTCTTATGCGCACCTTTCCAAATGAGCGAAGTGTGTCTGTGGGTGCGCGCGCGCGTGTGTGTGGGGATGCGTGCGTGCGTGCGCGCTGCTGGGACTAGTACTAACGCACTGAGATACCACAAGGCTAACACTGATACCCTAAGGGGTTATCTTTCAACAGCTTTTGGTATGGAGGAATCGAACCACCTCCATCCGCTCTCCGGGCAGACGCTTTACCCACTATACCCCCTCATATTGCATATACATCAACTGTCTGTAACAGTCAACTCACCAGCTCCACCTTCCTGTATATGACCACCTCCGCGATAGTAACGACAGCTCCCAGCAACACCCCAATCAGCAGCAGAATGAGTGCCCCTGAGAACGACCCCAGGTCCACGGTGTAGTAGGGTGGGAGGTTGAAGACGTCGTCTTGGGACGGGTTGATCATGAAGCCGTCACATTTACCAGCAAACCACTTCTCCTCGATCAAACGTAAGATCCCGTTCTCCCGGAGAAGAAGAATTGCTATATCCAGCTCCTTCGCGTGCTTCCAATTTTTACTATACGCAAATGAGTATGAACTAGTAGTTGTAAAATCTCCCACGAAAAACAAGTCGCAGGGTTCTTGTTTACTATAGTACTTCGCCATGGCTGATTCCATGATAAAGGCATAGTCTTTCCGCCATGACGTCCTAACTCGATTTATCCCGTCTGATATAGTTTTCTCTAGAACGTCGGGATTCTCCCGCACCATCTCGTGTATACGTATTAAATTTGGAACTTTGGCGTTCTCAAAATATTGGTATGTTGATCCGTGCTGGAGCATGCCGAACTCGATATCTGTTTGTTTCGTGAGGTCATCGAGGCTGCGAATTCTTGTGAATTCCCTGACGTCTTCTGGAGTCGGGCCCATCCTCAACATGTTGGTGAGACTGGCCGTGAACGTCAACACAAACATCATGATGTACACCCACCACGACATCACGACGATTCGCCCCCCTAAAGACCGTGGCGCCCGAACGTAACCTGTCAGAATACAAAATACATCCAGTTAAGGTATGACTCCCTGTTTTGCAACTTTAGTTACAGCAAGACTAGGTTCCATGTAGCAGCATGACGGATAAAGCGATCGCTTCCCTCACAGAAGTAGGCAGTATCCCCCAAATAGGTATTTTTATGACGCTGACTATGCGAGACATGGTATAAAACCATAAATCATGAACTCACTCACTAACTTAAGCACTATTGCGCAAGTGTGACGCAACTTTACCAAAAATTATCACAATATTGAGGCGAGATTACCATGGATACGCTTCATTGTACAGAAGACTTTATCCACTAGGCTACCCATGTGGCACTGTTGTGCAGTGTTCTTGCGAACAGTTATCTTAATATATCAGGAGATGATAACAACAATATGAATATTCATAACCATTATCATCATAATCATCATCAGAAGAAGAAGAAAGCGTTTGTCATTAACTACCTGTCTGAAAATCTGAAAGGCTTGTCAAGAAACTGATTATGGTACATGAAACTTCTAGCCTTAGTTTTTATTATTTAATCATACTAATACCTAACAGATTTGTTAGAATTACATACTTCTGTAATCAAATAGTGTGAATGGATTCGACGTGTCAACCTAAGGTGTCGATGATGATGATGATGATGATGAAGAGGAGGAGGAGGAGGAGGAGGATACCCACCTTGCCAGGCCCATGCGCTGAGAAGGAACCAGAACGAGTTGTAGCAGGTGAATGACTCCGCTTCCCGAACAGTAGCTTCGCCGTCCTTCGCCATCCGCCGCCATTCGTAGGGGTTGCAGTGACAGATGACGTAGACGATGGTGCTGACGGCGAGGTAGGCGAGGATGGACAGGAGCCATACACTCTGGTCAAGCGGCGTGAAGACACGTGACAAACGATCTCCCAAACTCGGTTGATAGGACGTTGGTTTTTTCATTACAATGACGGGACCAAAGTTTTGGATGGGGATTGAGAAGTCCACAGCTTCCGTCCTCGTGGACGTCACGGTCAGCGGGGCTGCTGCCATGTCAACTTCCTGGAAGAACAATCAAAGATCACAACTGCAGTAACTCCATTAACGTAATTCAGAATCATCAGCGTATGTTTCAGAAGAGTAAGTGAGTGAGTTTAGTTTTATGCCGCTTTTAGCAATATTCCAGCAATATCACGGCGGGGACACCAGAAATGGTCTTCACACATTTTACCCATGTGGGGAATCGATTTCAGATCTTCAGCGTGACGAGCGAACGCTTTAACCACTAGGCTATCCCATCGCCCCGTTTCAGAAGATATTATACAATGAAATAATACATCAGCACGTAAATCCAGTAATAACAACGAAAAGCAACAACATTTGTGAAGGAGTATGACTGCGCAAAACTGAAATTCATTGAAAATAAACTCCTAAACATGATTCAAACGCTTAAATACATCTCATTGTAAGCTTCTGTCATGTCTATATCCCGGGAATTATATTTAGGCAATCATGTAAAGTATAGATAACTCTCTTGTCACCCACATATATGTAATTTGACATTTTACTTTAATTTTGATGCTCAACTTTATTGCTTTTATTAGTCCACGGAGATATTTATACAAGCGAATAAACAATAAGTTTGATACGGGAATTTAGTTTTAGTTTTAATCTACTCACATAATTGACGACTTCACCGACGATGCCGTCCCACGTTCCATTCCGGAGAGTCCCAAATATCCCGTGACTGGGGACGTGCAGTGTGTAGTTGAATGGCACGAGCTTGCTCATCTCGTCCAGGACATCCTTCATGAACCCCTCATAGTTTTTGGGGTCGCTGGATCCGGCGACGCCGCTCACCCGCCGCAGGTACGGAGGCACCTGTAACATGTTTGTTTATTTGTTAGTTGTTTAACGCCGCACAAAGCAATATTCCAGCCACATGACGGCGGTCTGTAAATAATCGAGTCTGGACCAGACAATCCAGTTAGCAACATCATGAACACCGATCTACGCAATTTGGATTCGATGACATAAGTCAGTGAGCCGGACCACCCGATCCCGTTAGTCGTCTCTTACGACAAGCATGGGTTACTGAAGATCAATTCTAACCAGGATCTTCACGAGTGTGGGCGCACACCAGAAATGGGCTTCACACATTCTACCCATGTGGGAAATCGAACCCGGGTCTTCGCGAAATAGGCTTCCCCACCGCCCCGACATATGAATTGAAGAAATGAGTGAGTGAGTATGATTTTACGCTGCTTGTAGCAGTACTGCAGCAAAACCACGGCTGGGGACACCAGGCATTATTCATTTGTTATAATTAAACTTCTTTGCGTGGCATTTTAGAAGTTGGGAAGTACAATATAGAACAAACTTTATGGAAAACAACTTCTTTTTATTCGTGAGTGCGACGTTTCGATACAGATTCTTGTACCGTTGTCAAGCATAAGAAGTTGTAATCCACAACTAAACTTCTATCAGAATCACATCATGTATAACTGCCACTTACCATTATTTAAACATATATACTTTCATATTTTTGAGAATGTATCCTTCAGATCCGGTCTCACCAGTCTATCCATGTCTGGTTTCACGCCGCAAATATACTAGCAATATCAAGCAGGGATCACTTGTAATTTTTCACACAATTATACCCACGCGGGAAATCGGCTACTCGCCAGACCAGGTACATATGTAATTCAACCAAGAATTCAGCAATTTCATCTATTTCTAAAATAAACACTGTCATGTATGCAAAATGGAAGGCGTTGCATGTAGTTGGATCTGCTGCCTTTCATTCTATAACCATGTCAGCTTGAAACGGACTGTCTGACGTTTAGTACTACAAGATGCAGAATAGATAGGACTAAGCCGGTGTAACAACTTACCAGAAGAGACGAGATGTTTAGGCTCAAGCCCTGAAACGAAAACAACATACATTATACATGGGTATATCGGAGGTAAATATAACACGATAGCACTCGTATAAATAATATTCAATTTTGAAAGTGCTCTTTAGCTGTGAAAATCATCTGTGTGGACCGCTGAAAGTCAGTGATGACACCAGGTGTTTAAGAAAAAGGCAAGCATGTTACTCACACGTTATACATGTTTCCAGTGCATGGATATATACACTTCATAGTGCGTGGATATATGCACACGGAAAAAGAATCGAAACACCTATGATTTTTAACCCCATACATACATATATAGTCATATCATAATTATGTTTGCTTGTATGATTATTTGACCATTTGCGAGCACCGTTCATTGACTTTATATATGCAAATGCTATGTTTAGATCAAATACATGTATGTTCAAATATCAAGTTTCAGTAAACTGTTCTTACAGCTCGATAACTTGAAAAACAATTGATTTCGTTGTTGATAAGCTTATATGGGACCTCCTCAACTGACAACTGCTCTAAGATGGCATTGTATTGAGTATGCGGAATGCTGTCATGTCATTGAGGACTATTGCAAGAGATCTTGGTGTCATCCACTGACTGTTAGACGGTTGGCTAAAAAACATCATCACTCTAATGACGTTAAGGACCATCAAAGTCTCGGTCCGCTCATTCATTCATTACATGCGCTAAATGTAGTTAGACGTGTTGTTTTCCGTGGAGCACTGCTGATTAGTGCTGACCGCCTCCGTGGTGTAGTGGTTAGAGCGTCCGCCCGGAGAGCGGAAGGTCGCTGGTTCGATCCCCGACCGCGTCATACCAAAAGATGTTAAAATATGGTACTTGTTGGTCCCTGCCTGGCGCTCGGCATTAATGGGTACGACAAGGACTGGTCGACTCGGAGTCAGTATAAGGTGTCTGAGTGGGGTATTCATGCTTCACTGCGGCGTGGTATCTCAGTGGGCTAGCACTATAAAACCAGCTTAAGTCTGGGCTAGTACAAGCAGCCGCACAAACACATACACACGCATGCACGTCGTCATATGAGCGAAATATTCTCAAGCATGACGTTAAACCCAATTTCACCTCACATCACCTCACGATAAGTGCTGAGTCCATCTCTCCAACTGCTTGCCTCTGTCGTTTCAACCTCCAAAGAATGAGCAGGCCGAGAAATCCTTGAGCTGCTGGCCAAGACCATATTGTTTGTTGGTTAGGCTCAGAAAGAATCTGGGATCCCTCCAGAAGCAGTCAACGGGAGAAAAAGCTTTCAGCAGAGCTACCTGTATGAACTTGTTCATGTTAGCAACAATGTTGCCTTGTACAAGAACAAGGGTGATAGAAGCGTTTGAAACAACTATCTCTGGATCTCTTTGCTGATCATCGCAGGTAGACTAAGGGAAGAACGTTGTTGCTTGTGTGATCCTGACGACAGAAAACTGCCGAGAGGGTAATCCCGACCGACATGATGTTCTCAAAAGCAGAAGAGCAACAGCAGAGGCAGCCAATCCCTATCACCTTGTGTGCCCTGACTGCCTCCTCATATTGGTCCAACCGATCCACGTTGAAGTAAAGGATGTGTACAGTTTGGCAGGACATCATCTGAGGCTTTCGACGTCTGGAATGGAGCAAAGCAGGGTTGTGTACCTGCCCGTGCATGCCCAGTTCCTAGAGCCTCTTTTCACACTCACGCCTCTAAAGCCTAGTCTGTCTCACAGTCACTGAACCACATTATTTTCCCTATTGCCAAGCCCTCTCTGCAGTGCCAAAGCCCTAAATAAAGCAAGTCTAGATTTCCTCAGGTTCTGAATCTCTGGCCTCCCTGGGGCTCCTTTTCATTTTAAATGGGCTTGTATGTTACTATCAAAACTATATATATTCAGAGACTAAGCATTAGTCTATCTAAAACCCTACACCGTCAATCTCCACAGGAAGCTATTTTATCTGGCTCGCTGAAGGCAAAAAGAACCCTCATCAGAGACATGCCTTTTCTAGACGACTCGACCCGGCTGTGGTAACCCACTCAACGATGACAAGACAAGGCACGATATACGCCGCTGCTAAAGGGCACCTTCCAATACGTCTACAAGCAGTACTTGAGGTTAGCCGAGAGTGAAAGAAATTTGCCCAAGAAATAATAGCACGAGTGTTCAAAATACACAGTTCATTTTTCTAAATTGACCAATGGTGCAAACAAGCCCGAGCTCCAAAATCATTAATAACAAACATCTCTCCCAACCCAAAACACCTCCCATCGAAAAGAAAGGTAAACACAGCATCATAAACACCAAACCACCAATGGTAGCTCCCTAAGGGACCTTGAAAAAAGATCAGTTAATAATCAGGCAATACTTTATTCAATCCCATGAATTCTCCCATAAAATAAATAGGGAACCATGTCATGTTTCTGCAATTTCAATCCTCAGTTTCGGGGAAATGTGACGATATATTGATATCTGCAATTCAATACTGCAAAGCACTGGTCACCAGTTATACAAGCGTGTTTAGGTCAGACTGTGTCGCGGAACGGGATTTGCTGTATTGATCAGCTCACATAACACCTGGCTTAACTTACACGAGTGTATACCGTTAACATCACATAATGCCGCATGTCTGTTGTGGGCTGGAGGTAATCACTCAAGTTACCAAGCGATCTAAACCTAGATCTCTCAGAGACGGAAGTTAAATCTGTGCTTATTCAATGTACAAAATGATTTTCAAGAATAATGATACAATCAAGCAGATAATACTGTACGGCAGAAGGGGCAAGGCGCCTTTTTCAAGAAACGATCCGAGGGCCAAGACTGTTTTGGTACATCGATTGCTTTCAGGCGATCTTAACCTAAAATCTTCAGAGATAGAAGTTAAATCTTTGCTCATTCCATGTTAAAAACTGATTTTCAAGAATAATGACACAATCAAGCAGATGATACTGTGCGGTTGAAGGGAATAGGCGCCGTTTCAAAAAACGATCCCGGGGCAAGATGAATTTGGCGCATCCATTGCTTTCTGAAAAAAGCGTCGTTAAGTGATGCAGTGACTGACTTATGATCCAGGGCTATCGTCAGTACTCGAAATAGCTATAATATTGCAGGTGAGCATCTATTACCTATCCCGTGCCCATTTGGTACATTTCCAAATTCCACATAATAGAGAACACACACATTTACGTGCCAAACATATTAGAATCTAGTTTTTACAGCCGTATTCGTCAAGCATTATTTTATTGGACGGTGGCTAACGTTCTTCACACGGCATTTTTTCCCACAGATCTTACAGTTTTTCCCACAGATCTTACAGTTTTTCCCACAGTTCTTACAGTTCAGTCTCATTTGTTTTTCAGTAACTCAAATAGCGTTGAATTGTGCAAAATATATTAAAGAAGATATCGGCAAAAGAATAGTGTGATTGAATTGGTTACGAACTAATTCATAAAGTAATACAAAATTAATCATGTTCGCAACTTGAATGTAATTTCTTTTCTTTATCAGATTTGTGTTGTGAAATGCTGCGGTATTAAACCACAGAGGGAGAGGCACTATGAAAAGAATGACTATTGAGGTATTGTGAAAAGAGGAATTTATTGAAGCATTGTGAAAATAAGGATTTACTGCGGGATTGCTAAAAACAGAGACCATATACTAGCGCAAGCGCAGCCCCTCAAGAGAACCAGATTGAGGGTGGCAGGCCGCAAACAGCATTGATTACATACAAGCACGTGTGATGACAGACCTGGAATCATACATCATCAGCATTTTGGTCCGTCTAGTCACACAATTCGAGGGACCTTCTTAACAATTTGGTGATAATTTATCAAAAACCTACCATACGAAAATCGGTCTACATTTACATATACGATACGTACAGAAGCAGCCAACTGATTTAGTATTAGGAAATAGTCCAGTCCGCTCTGTGAACAGGATTTATGGACATGGTAAACTGGTAATAACTGTGTACTGGAAATGCGTTGATGGCAGTTGTTAGTCACCATAATATTTTGAAAACCAACTAATTGTATATTTATGTTCCTTCGCTGCATGTTTATGCATGTGCTTCAACAGACTACTTGTACCGGCAGATAAGTGCCAGTGCCGTTTTACCTCTTCCACATGCGTGCCCAGATAAATAGTGGTATGGAAAATAGTATTTCAATGAGCTCAATGAGCTCCTTATTTTTGACGGACGGACTAAAGTGTAGCACACGTACCACAGGTGCTAGTGTGTGTCTTCGTGCCAGGAATATTTGGTGAGACAGGTCAGAATGTCTAGTTCAAACACACGTGTGTTGTTTGTTTGTATCGGATAAAGTAATACAGTATGTGTGTGTAACACTGAAATCAAGACTGGTTGGGCCAAGAGAGAGAGAGAGTATCCTTTCTGGAAGTGAAATTAAAGAAATGCACCTCACATATCATAAGATCCTCGTTGCCCCAGAGCCATACTGTAGATCCGTCGATTCACTAAGGGCCCAACAGATAATACAAGTTCACGAGTAGAGAGAGAGAGAGAGGTCCTAGGAGGAGAGAGAGAGATTTTGAAATGTAACCTAAATCAAGCAACTTCGCTCGGTTTCAGTGAGTCTAAAAAAGGGCTTCACACCTCTGACTCAACTTAAAATACAAGATATATTTCCGTACCGAAACCTTGATTTAATTAGGTTTGTTTTTACACCGCTTTGGATAAAGAAAAATGTTCTTTACGTCGTTAACTCATTCACAGGCAAAAACCGAAATAGCAGCGTAGAAACTGCAAAACAGTTTGATCCCTTCCACACCTTGAAACAAAATGTATGAATCAGTGATAAAAACAGCACTTGGCACTTCCTGAGCTGACATCTGGAGGGAACATAAGGGGTTAAAGACATGCTTGGCGTACATCACCTACAAACTGTTCAACCTTACAGCGAAGGTCAAGACAAGCGCACCTGGCAGGCACAAGAACGGCGGGTTTGAGATTTGCTTCATCGCGCGGCACGAACCTGGTGTAAAACTGACAGCGATATTTGTGAAAAC